AACTGTACAGCTAAATCAAAATGAAATTCATTCTTACAGTATTTCATGAAAATGTTATTCTTATCGCATTTCAGGAAAATGGAAAATGTGCGACATTCTAGTATTTAGTATACTAGATATTCAGAACAGAGATAGTTATATATTTCTATAAATATGCATCTAAACTGGTCTTCACTTTCATTATTAGATGCACTCTGATGATTTTTCTCATCTTTATGACATTAGAAATAGTTACTGAAAATTAGCAACTGCAGCTTAAGAGTCTTCTATCTTAAAGTACAAACACCACTGAGAGAATGTAGCCATGAGAATACATCTCATGCACAATATACATAATGGCATGCTTTCATACAATGGTAAAGGAGAGAACAAAAGGCACATAAAGTACACTCTACTATTCATGCATAAAAAATGATGATGAGTTAAACATGATAAAATTAGATCTAAAGTTATTCTGCATTGTTCAAAGAAATTTAAATTTTTTAAAAACTGACAGCTATGATAAATTAAGATTCAATTCTGAGTTTCAAGAGAAAATCTGATAAAAGAAGTGTATGAATATATTTACTGATTACATAATATTTTAAGTTTTAAAATCCTTTCATAAATATTCTGACACAGAAAGTAGCAAAAATCATGATACATAAACATAATAGGGACATAAAAAACATTACAACGAAGGATCTCCATACCATTTAGAGGGAGGTCTCTTTGGGGAGAAATAATAAATACTAGAGAAATATTGAGCTGGGATGAAGAAGAGGAACCGATAGTTAATTATTCTTATTTTAGGAAAATAATTTTATGGATAAAATGATGATAGTCTCTGAAAGTCTAAAGAATTAAAATTTGGGGATTTATATTCAGCTCTATATTTACTTGTAATTTGCCTCTACAAAATCAAAATTATTGAGAGAAGAGGCTAGGACTTCAACATACTGTTATTCAGGTAACACATGGTAAAATATAGCGTTCTAGTAGGTACTCAATAAACATTTTTCAATAAATAAATGAACAATGTAAAGCTGGCTAAAGATAAGTACAAATCTTGGTCAGAGGCATTGTCTATAATTCTAGTTTGATTTAAACATTAAGGAAAATTTCAAATAGGTGAATTAAATATTCTGATAAGTTACCTAGACAGCTTATGTAATATCTCTCTATTAATAAAATTAGGTAATTTATTTTAAAATTAGTACTGAAAAACAATCTGCTCTTCATTGTGCGTTTATCAATTTGGAGTCTCAAGTCTTGTGTGAAACTGAAAAGTCATGCATCTACAACATTCCATGATGATTTTAGACACACACCCGCCTCGACCTTTTCACCCCGCTTTTCTGCCCCCTGCTCTTCCACGTGCCCAGTTCCTTCATCGACTTCTGTATTTTCAAAGTAAAAGTAAGGAAAAAGATAAGACCAGATGTACATAGTTGTTACTCTTAAGTGAAACAAAACAAAAAATTTCAAGTTAGTCATGATATAATGAGTGATTATAAGGAGACTAATAGATTATTTTTCATGAGTTTCTGACATGTTATGGAAGCAAATGAGTATACTATTAATAAATTATCACATCTTTTCCTTTTATGATGGCTTCAATTTGTAAAAGAAATTGTAGCCCCCCAAAATATTGCAATATGTGATAACTGTGTAAAGCAGGCAAAATACTTTGTCTACAAACTTGGTATATTCTTAGAAAAATAATGTTATATAACTTTTCTCCTAGAGAAACAAAAAATAATGTTATAAACTCTTTTATTTTTAAAAAGTCCAGTACATCAAAATTAGGGGAAAATAAAACAATAATAATCATGCCTCACAGTTGTTCAGTACATTGCACTTTCCTTACATTGCTCCTATTGTCTCTGGTTCTCAGACAGAGAGAAGATGGCTAATACTGTACTGCTATCAAGACCAACATATATAAGGTTTCATTTAATTAACAGACTAAAATACAACATCACCAAAATCAAAAGGAATTAAATTAGGACTTGCTCATTTTTTAGCTGTTGAACAGGATTAGAAAATAAACACATTATTACTTTGATTCTAAAATAATGCCATTAAATTATTGCTTCTGACAAATTTTTAGGAGATAATCCAAACATAATTTGATTTAGACCATCAATTTTGGGTTATGTACTTTTAATTTCAGTTAGAAGTTGAAGATTTCTAAAAGAGATATTATAAATCTCCTTTAAATCTAAAGAGAATTACACAATTACGTATCTACTGAAGTCTTCATATCAACATTTATGAAAACACTGTTAAAATCATCCATACTTTTAAGCAAAACAAAACCAACAAAAACCAAAAAACCCTTTTACTTCATACTGGAAAGGATAAGGGAGGTTTTGGCTCTCCTCTCTTTCATTTATAAAAATGGAAAAGTCACAATTGGGGACACTAAAGGAAAACTGTGGTTTTAATAGACTCTACAGGGTAAAAAACAGATAGTAAAAAGAATGTTTCTTGACAAGCTCATTAAAAATTTCCTCAATCCTGACTTTCAGTAACAGCTCTATGTCAGTTTTCTGGTATATTTATTATTATAAAGAATGGAGGTACTCATGTCCCAATAGACTATTGCTATAAAAGATATTAAAATTGAATTTTTAAAAAATTGTGACATAAACTATGTTTCTGACTTCTCATGCCAACAAATGATGTCAAAATTCTATGTTTAAAAATCTTGGATGGGGCTGGCCTGGTGGCGCAAGAGGTTAAGTGCACGCGCTCCCGCTGCAGGGGCCTGGGGTTTGCCGGTTTGGATCCCCGGCGCGCACCGACGCACTGCTTGTCAAGCCATGTTGTGGCGGCGTCCCATATAAAGTGGAGGAAGATGGGCATGCATGTTAGCCCAGGGCCAGTCTTCCTCAGCAAAAAGAGGAGGATTGGCAGATGTTAGCTCAGGGCCCATCTTCCTCACAACAACAACAAAAACAACAAAAAGTCTTGGAGAGACAAAAAATTCCATATGGACTACAGAACTTTCCTTACGAAAGTACTTTTAAAATTATATATCCTCATTCTTATGCAAATAATTGAGAACTATAGAAATGCTGGGAAATCTTTATATCAGGCAGCATAACAGACCATTAGTCACAAGAGCACTAAGTTGCTTAAAATCACAGTACATAGTAAATAGAAAGGACCACAAAATAGAAGTTAATAATCATTCAACTACAACCAACACAAACACAACTTGTTCCTAGTTATATAAGGCAATGAAAGTACTGCTGCCCAAATGCAATGCACTTAGAAATTTCTTACAAATAGGTTATAGAAATATGAAAATCAATATAAACATATATAGAAAGATAAGATTATCTTAGTGGTACTTTATACACTATTTGAAGTAGCCTTTCAGTTTTTAAATAAATATTTCATGCATTCATTCAACAAATATTTATTGAGGGCCCATAATGTGCCAGGCATTATTCTATATGCTGGAGATTTATCAGTAAATAAAAAAGACAGTTAACGATCCTTTAAAGTTACAAAGTCAATTTCAGAATTCTAAAATTAGCAGAGGTATTTTTATTGTCCTGTAAAAGGTATGACACTCCATATATCACGACTCAATATTTTTTCTTGTGTCATAAAACTACATATTTAACTTTCCTATACTATAAGCAGTGTTGCTACAACATGAAAAATGATGTGGGAAATACAAACCATAATCACCATCTAATTAAAAAACTTTCTTTTCTAGAAAGCCAAATTTAATCATTAAAAGATCATCATAAATACAAAATGAAATATATGATGATAAATACAACTAAACTAAGTATACATCCTCAACGACATAAACACAGACTGCAATTGATATCTTTGGTTAAAGTCTTGCACAAAACATAGAATTCCACTTAAAATGTAAATTAAATTTTTTAAAAAGAGGAAATTTTATTTTGTCATTTAAAACAAGAAACTCTGCATTCTTACCTGACTAAATAAAAGAAATTTAACTCCTTGGCATAATTTGCAAGTAAAACAAAAGTCAAATACTTTATTAGAAATCATAAAACAAAATAATTTTACTGTATATAAAAGTCTATACAATGGAGGGACATCAATTGCAGTTGGGTTTATTTTTGCTTACATAGCCCCCCAAAAAGGCTGTCAGCACAAAACAAACCCTCCTTTATGTACAGACCTTCATAAGGTTCTATCTCCTTGACTCCATTGTCTAGGAAAAACAAAATAAAAACAAACAAAAAAGGGAACCAAAGCACAGGGGTTAAAAACAACAGAAATTTCCAAAGGCACAGAACGTATCATCTATTAAAGAAGAGTTAAATGATTATTTAAATATATATATTTTTTTGGCAAAGCATTTCCAGTCATCAAATAAAGGGATCATTTGAAAAATGAGGCTAAAAATTATTATAGTCTATCATCCATGCTTTCACAGGTCCTTTATCCAAGAATTTACAGATGTTTGGGGAGTGTGTTCATCTATGTGTAAGCAAATAGTGCTTCTTATATAAAAATTTGAAAGTATTAAAAATATCAGTACAACATGCATCTTTCTTTGTATATTTATGATTACCTTTTTCTGGTACTCCAGTTTTGAGAAGGATCACCATTGTTGTGCATCAGCTAACCAGTCCTTTGCAGTGTGTGAAAATTGATTTGGCTAGTTACTAATAAACTTTACGTAACTATCAACAATTACATAAACTTAGTTGTAGCAAAGAAATATCATCCAACTGCTTATTTAATAGGATTAAGTTTACTTTTTAAAATGCATTTATTCAAATTTGAAAAATGTGCAAGAGCAATAATGGTAGGTTATTTTATCTTCAAATATTACTAACTTTAAATACAAAGTATATAATTTTTATAAATACATTTGTAAATATAACTACTAGCAAATGCAGCTAAGGGATTCAATTAACAAAAGAAGAAAACTAACACTAAGGTAGTAAAAAAAAATCTAGCTTCACCTTAGTTTCCATGTGTATTTCCTATATGACATAATTAGAAATAAAACTTACTTCTCTCCAGTGTCCCCTTTGGTGGAAGTTGTGGAAGTTGTCGGCCCCTTCGTCCTGCCACTGGAGTACTTAATGGACTGGTTTGGACAGACCCAGTACGAGGATGAGATCTACGAGATAGACCATTAATATTCATTTTCAATAGAATGAGTTAAATGCTTTCAATACATTTGGTTCATATGATAGCTGTATAAGTTCAATTTTAAGAGAAGTTTAGCTGCTGGTTAAAAGGTTAGGAAAGTAGGACAAAATATGGATATTTGAATGATTATTTGAATAGCAAAAGATGTTCATATTTTTGTGTAATATGCATACATACACAGATACATGCACACAAAATCCTACAGTAAAATCCATGGAATTATTAATGTAAATTAGTATGCTATCCATATGAAAGCAAGAGGAGAATTCTGCAGCTCAAAAAATAAAAGATTATGCTTTACATTTCTTTCTACCAGATTCCAAATTCTTAACACTAACCTCCCTCCCTTGATCCAAAGAGATTTTTACTCAGGCTTATAGTAGATATCCCTTTGTTAGAAAATATCTCATGAAACTATAAATAAACCCCTGAACAATTCAAAATTCAGCTAAAGAAGATACTGGTTAATACATGATATTAGTATTGATAGAAAGAAACTAAAAATCTAGTTTTATTTATTGTCATTAGGATGATTATTCCAAAAGGGATGTCTAATGGACAACAAACAATTTCTCATTCTGTAGGAGAAGAACATGATAGTTATGAGGTGCATTATGTGGGGATTGACCCAGGACTCCTGATAAATGAGAAATCACAAAACAAATGCAATCAGGACAGTTAATAAACAAATTACAATGGTAGCCACACACTATTATATCCGCTGAATATAAATAGTGTGCTTACACTGAAAAGGTTAGTATTGATTGTTATTAGTGATCAGCCAAGGATGATAGAAGAGACCATTTAGTAGCTGGAAAAATAAAATGGTGTGCTGGTGGGGCAAAGGGGAAGTTAGTCTGATTGATGTATCTTTCACCTCGATAAGGCAGGTGAAGGAGGGGCAGATCTTCCAGTCATTAATGAAGGCATCGACCTCATGAGGTTTGTATCAGGACGTTCAGTGGATCTGGAGCGGGTGGTGGTCCGCTCTGGGAGAGGCCGTTGTTCTGTTGATCTGGATCTGTGATATGGCTGTCTATCTGCTGCTTCACAATCCCTGAAACGTTAGTCAAAAAGCAGCTCAGTTGATCTTTAGTGCCCTTCTGCTACTTGGTTATGATGCATCAAACTGATTTTGAAAAATTGTTTAAAATTATTGCGTAAGTAAAAAAATTTCTCTTCCCCAACATATTTTGAGCAAATTCTCACTAAACTTCTTAAGAATTTCTAAGGACCCCGAATCTGCCTTTAATAGCAATTCCCAGTCAAGATAACAGGAGTTGCTCAGTTATAATCAATGACAAACAAAACTATCTCCTTTCCAAAATAAATCCTCTAAATGGAACATGTGAAATATGTGAAGTACTCTATTTTAAAAGAATTCAATGATTTTTCTTAACATTTTCAAAAGAGTGAAGAAAAGCACATAAGCACTAATTCTCAAGCCCCTAAGGCTTACTAGCATACCAACTAAGATATAAAAAGGCTTTCAGCACAATCTTAGTGTACTGATGCACCTGCACATTCAAACAGAAGAATCAAAGTATTATAAGAAAACAGTGCAACTTTGCAGTCTGTAGCCATATTTAAACATGGTCCACAAGAAAAACCACTGTACAGAAAACTGTTTAATCAGCCAATCTATGCCATCTATCTCAGAGCACTTTAGCAATGCCCACCAATACAATTCAGAGTAGGTATTAACTGATTTTAATAATAATGGTTCTGAAACAATGTGATTTCTTTGACCACATATAAATCCAATATCAAAACCTAATCCTTGTTGAAACAAGTATACTTAAATTTAAATAACCTATTATTATTGATTTTTGCATCTCAGGAGTCTAGCATAATAATTTTACACCTAACATGTGATCAAAAAATGTTTTCTAACACCAGCCCCACTATCTGTGAGACAACTTTAAAAACACTAGCTTTGGCTCTAGAACTCCAAAGTAAGGCATACTCCAAAGTATGTGTCAAATTAAACTATTACCTCGCCACCTAGTTGTAACCAAAATGGAAATGCTTCTATTATTATAGATAGTAAAGCAAGCATTAGTCTCCCTCAAGACTAATGTATCAAGGACTTCCACTTTACCTATAAATTCTCTCAATCTTATTTTTGATAATGAAAAATACAAGCAATTAAAGAAAAATAAGAAAAGAAAGGACACAATTTCTCAAATGTAATTGATTATATGCCATACAATTTTGGACCAGTAGACATTAGATTAGACAACTTTAGGAAGTGAATACTGGGTTTATTCTACAACATGTCTTGTGATTATCTTACACTTTCAATTCATAGGGTAACATATAAGTGAAATAATTTTAAAATATTTTTAAGTCCATGTACCATAATATGGTTGAATTCCTAAGATAAGTTTATAATTTTTGTATAAGTGTATCTAGAATATGTCAAAAAAGCTGACATTAAATGTAAATACACATACAATATTCAATTATTTGTCAAAGAGAGAAATGAAAAAGGCAACCTGATAGTGTAAAAAATCATAATTCTATTTTTGTTCCTGAAAAGCTATTTTAGAGAGAACACTTCTCTTTAGAAATAAATATGCCCAATACTTTGTTAAATGTTTTTGGTGTACATATCTTTGAATATCTTCATCACAATAGATAACCAGAATCAAAGGGATATATATATCTTAGATTCCTTAAAATCTATTTTTGGAGATATATATCTTAGATTCCTTAAAATCTATTTTTGGAGAGTACCAATCTTTACAATATTTGCAGATTTCCTATTGTCTTAAGCTAATAATAAACATATCTCATTATGTAACATGTGGTAACAAAACTTTGTGGAATATTTATGACTATCCAACAGAAAATTAGGCTAATATTTCATGTATTTATGCAAAAATTGATTTATTCTTATTCCATTAAGCAACTTTTCCAAGTAGAAAATGAAATGTTAGGGTATACACTTTCACTTCTTGGACACTATATTTTTAATAATTGAAAAATATAATTGTGAATGAAATCTAGAGAATTATTTCAACTGTGCTATGTTCTAGGTCCCTAAAAGAATGCTATTATTTATAAAGCAAACAAGGTTACTCCTTAGGAAATATCCCTTAAAAAATATTTCTTTAGTGAAAAAGTTGTTTAAAGACTGTAGTCAAGGTTTTAAATTTTATTTATATTTTTTCTCCATATTCACAAATAATATGAATTATATGATTTCCATAGTGCGAAATGAAAATCAGTTAATAAATTAAACACGAGAAGAACTACAGTAGAAGGTAGAAATTTGCTGAAATGTGCCACCATGGTTAAGGGGAATGGGAAGCTACCATATTTTAAATTTGGATAACACAATAGAAGGTCAAGCTAGGCTCTTGCTCCCACAATCAGATAAGAATAGGTTTTAATAGGTAAGAACTAAGATTACTGATGAGAAAATTGAAAGCAGCAATGCCTAAGTCTCATATATAATACCCAATCTCACAGCAGGCTGTTTAAGGGATTGAAATACAAAACTTGACAACTTCCACCTAAATTCTTAGGGTATTTTGAGTTTAAGATGTGAACTTATAAATAATTAATTTTGATTAGTAGCAACTGAGACCTGGGAAATAACAGATAATCATTTGCAAGGCATAAAATATTTTAGTGCCTACCCGGGGTTCTTAACTTCAGGTCTGTATTTCAACATAAGCAGTTTACTTTATAACTCTACTTATTTACTTTATTTTTCTTCATGCATTTTAAAACACTATTTTTAAAAAAGTGGCCATAGGTTTTACAAGACTGCCAAAGGGCAATCCATATAAAAAGCTAGGAACCACTCACCTGTAAATTTAATGCTTTCTTAGGCAAATAACTTGGTTATCTTTTAAAGTGATTTAATATCTGTCATTGTTCTATTTTTTTAATAAATTGTTTATATTTTCTAATATGTGTTTAAAATAGTTCAGTTTTTGTATGTGTCATTTACCGGGATAGATACAGATTACTGTTCTGCATGATTTAATGGCTTCTATTTAAACAGCAAGCATTTGCGGAAATACAGTTTAACAGCCCTTCTGCTTGTGGAGGGGCTATAGTTGCTCTTAAAAGATTTTTTAAATTTCCAAGTATCTGGCACAACTTCCTACTTATTTCATCACCTTTGCTACCTACTTCCCCTATAGTCAAAGTACGAGGGAGTTATGCAGTATAATAGAGAATAGGCCAGTGGGCTTTCTTTTCTATAACCACTTATATTAAGCCATCACAATGACAGAACTCCAGAGCAACATAAGATCAATGTAGAGCATCTCTCTAGATATGATAGAAAAATACTAAGAATACTAAAAAAAAATAAAAAACAACCAGCACGATGTAAAGTTTCAAGCTAATATTCAAAAAATTGTCCTAGAATGACAAACCTTATAGTCCATGTTAAAGCAGACAGACTTATTTCATGTTTATATTGTAAAGATATCGTAAGTAAATGTAATAGGTTTTCTTGAAAAATGAACTTATAAAAATTAAAGCTATTTAAGAATTATTCTTTCTTTTTATAAAGAAATTATTTCTTTATAAAGCTGAAATCTTAAAAAAATCTTTTGGATGTATCTCTGAAGGACAAGTACAATCTCTGGTTTTGGGCAAGAAATGCCTTCCCTGTACCAATACTGTGTACTATAGTAAGCTGATTAACAGCAGAAGCATTATATTTTTGATAAAATAACTTGAATGCCTAGAGATTTTCTGAGCATTAGCTGCATAATTGAAGAAATAAATACATGATAAATTTAAAAATGAGACATTTCAGGTTAATTTATAACATATATACATATTTGTATACTAAAACAAATAATTTAAAGTAATTATATAACTCAATTCTATAATTTTCATGTTTATCATAATGTGCAAGGCACAAGTTTAACTTTTTAAAAACTCTAGTTTATATTATTTTTCATTGCTTCCAAAGTTAAGAGAATTGCAAGACACAAAATACTCACCATGGAAATCATGGTAAATAAGTATTGTGTACAAACAGAAATATTTTATTATTTTGGAGAAAGATAAATTTATCTTTGGGCATGATAGCATTTCTATACAGAACATTTCTGTTCAGTTAAACATAAATTTGGTATGTTAGTTAAAAGTAAATGAGCTCATTCAAAAATAACAGCAATATCTAAGGTCAGCCAAGTTAATAACAATCTAAAATGTGAAAATGGTAATAATACATATATTGATGAGAGAAAGCAAGACACCCTGAATGTAGAAAAACATATTACTACTGCCTATAAGCCTATTTTATCATAAAAAAGTGAAGTAAAGTGTTCTCATGTCTAGAAAAGTATTTTTTTTGTCATTACTGGAAACAGAAAGAAGAAAAGATTAAATATCCCAATTTCCTCAAGAATATTAGAGACGAATACAATACTGAACAATAAAGATATATTATTAAATATGCACACATAGAAACATATAAGAGGCAAATGATTTGAGGATATGTTGAGTATTTTATTAAATATTTATAATTTTCATTGTTATTTAATTTTTACCTCAAAACGTAACAGAAACAAAATCAAAAACAGGCAGGATTACGTACCCAGCAACAATTAACGTGTAGCAAATTAATACATCTTTAAAATATATATTTACAAAATCCTGAGAGATAATATAATTACCACCTTCCATCTATAAAATTATTTTACTAATTAAATAGTTTCCATTTTCAGTGGATATTAAAGTTTAGCAAAGTTTTGTCACTTGCAAGAAATTCAAGTTATTCCACCAAGGTATTGGCCCTATATTTTCCCTTCCCAGGTCCTCAAAGATTTCATAAAAAAACAAACATTTTAAAGATGTATCTCTAAACATTCGATTTATGTATTGTTATTACACTACATGAGTAAATGCGATGAGGCATGGTGCTCACACTATAATGTCTCAGTGGTGTGTTCAACAGTTTCACTGATCAACTTTGAACAATTCATTAGCCTTCCTTTTGCTTTGCTAGCTTTACACGTATAGTGGTATGAGTATAGTGCAAATTCCTCATATACACTGCTGCCTGCCGCCCTTAGCTGT